TGCGTGTGTGTGTGTATGCACGCACGCACACATGCAGTCATGCATGTGTATGTATGTGCAATTTACTAGTACACTGACAGCTACCACTAGTACAGTTTGATATCACTGTCTTGCTGTGTGCTAAGGAACCATCAGTTTAACTCACCATTGCTTTTACACCATTATTGTGAGTCTCAATATAATGAAAAGAGGAAACATGTCATAATGTTTTTATGAAAATGATTCTGTTAAAGGGCTCCCTGGTTAGAGAAAGACGATTGTGGACCACATTTGAGAACCTCTATTTTTAGCCAATCCTACCACACTAACTACTCACCACACCGTACTTTTCATTCTCTTCTAGGAACTTTTAAGAGTCCTTAAAATTTCTCTTTCCCATATAATCACTCTTTTCCTTTTTTTCCCCTTTTTTAATAATTCACATTCTTCAGTCTATAAAAAATGATTCTCTATCCAACTGCCCATAAAGCTATCATCTTACCCCCCTCTTCCAAACTTGTTTAAAAAAGAGTTTGTTTTCTATTTCCCCTTTAATCCAAATCACACTGCAACCCTGTAAAATTTGGCTACTCTCTCCAGCACTTGAAATTTATTTATTTTTATTATCCGTTGCTGTGCTTAATGCAGTATTTTAATTTATGTCTTTACTTAGCAACATGTATAGTAGTTTGCTTCTGATTTTTTTCTTTCTAGAGCTTCAGTTCATGTGTTTTTCTCTTTATGTTTCTCATTTCTGTCAGTCTCTTGCTTGTGTCTTTTAATGTTCCCAACTTCATTATCTTTGCTCTGCATGCCCTTCACCACTTTAACTGTCATCTTTAGAATAATACAGATTTCTTTTCCTAATCTTAGTTTCTGCTCTGAGCTGCAAATTTCTACCTCCCATTTGTAGATGTTGCCAGTGGTTGTCTCACATTTTAAAACTGAACTTGGCATGTCTAGAAACAAACACCTCCCTCTCAAAACTTAAACAAACATTCATTGAGCAATGACTGTACAACATACTGTAGGAAAACAGAGGTTCATAAAAAGGCAAGATACATGAAAGGCAAGGCGGACAATGAACAAGTAGGCCGATAGGTCAGACTGCAATACTTAGAGAGATTTGTTAGTAACTAGGAAAACTCTTCAAAAAGTTTATGGAAAATACATGTTATGGGGAAAAACTGCATGGGTTCCAGGGTTTTTTGCACCAAAATAAATTTGTATTTTAATTTCATTTTTTTCATGAACTTTTTGAAATACCTTTGCATCTCTCTGAGGGATTAATAACTGACTTGAATCCTGAAGAAAAGGATTTAGCTATAAGAAGAGGGTAAGTGAAAGGACATTTCTTACAGGGAGAACAGCAAGCATCCAGGCCTCAAGTAAAGACTGTGAGGTGTTCTAAGGACCTATAGCTGCTGTAGAGAGTGAAGGTAAGAGTACACTGAAGGTTGGTTGGATTGATAGATTATATAGTGTCTTTTGGGTCATGAAAAGGAATTTAAATTATAATCTAATTACATTGAGAAACCATTTAGATATTATAAGCAAAATCTGATTTTTGTTTCTGAAATGTTCTTCTGGCAACTCTATGAGGATTAGATGGGGATTGGGGATGAGGTGGACAGGAAAGTAGAGAGAGCTGATTGGATACTCCTAACAGAATTAAAAGTGAGAGGGGATCGTGGTTTGTCCTACATGATGGGATAGAAAGGGGGTACAATGGACATACCTGAAATAAGGTCCTCTGGCTTTAGAACCTTGAGGCAGAGGACCTTATCTGAAAAGCCTAAAATGATAAGTCAGAATTTTTGAGACAGAGTGTAAAGTAGATGTTTTCAGCAGAACATCACGCAAAGGGTAAGAAATCAGAGAGGTAAAGGAATATTTGAGAACCTGGGAGAAGCTGAGCATGACCAAAGTATAAAGAGAGAGAATGACAAAGGATGAAGTAGGAGATGCAGGAAGAAGTCAGATCATGTAGGGCCCTCTTAAAGAATGGTAGACTCTCGGGACTAGCAATTGGCATAATGGCTATGTTGCTGGACTCCCATGTAGTCGACTGCGGTTCGAGTCCCAGACCTGGTGGCTTAATCTCACGCTGGGTGTGTGTGCGGGTTTGCCCAAGATCCTGAGAGGAGAATGGAGGAAAAAGGACTGTGGCGTGGCCATCCCCCCTGGGGGTGATTTCTCAGTTTCTGACTCTCTGTCTGTCTTTCTGGTGAGCGCATGTGCCTTATATCAAAAACCTTTCCCCCCAATATAGACTCTCCATGCCTGCTGTTCTAATTGGTCTGTATTTGTGAATTACCTTGTTATAACCAGTAAGGGAAACCCTGCGAGTAAATGAGATTCCCCAGGGAGGATATATATATATATAGAATGTGAAGAGTTTAGACCTTATTGCCAAGACCTGGTGAACATTAGCATTTGAAAGGAGTTGATCCAGGAGACAAAAGAAATAGAAAAAGAAAATTTGGTGTAAGAGGGACCAAAAGCCAATGGACAAAGTTTTTCAGAAGATTGTAGCCTGCATTTCAGATAATTCTATGAGTGATCAAGTAAGATAATAATAAGAAATAACCTGTACAGGTCATTGATGAATGTGGGTGAGAATGAATTTGGTGCAGCCATAGGTGAAAATAACACATTGTTGTGAGATGAATAAATTGTGTGGTAAGAAAGTTAAGACTGCATGTTGACAACTGTGTGGTCTTAAGAAAATAATAAGAAGGAGTGCCAGGTGAAGTTTTTGGTAGAATTGAGAAAATTCTTTTTTTTTTTAATATGCGAAATGTGCTGGTCAAGAGAGGAGATGGGGTGGAATGAAATCTACGGTATTTCTTGTCTCAATGTGAAAACTTCTCGATCTAATTTCTTTTGTATTATGGCCTTACCTCTCTTACACATGCTAATCAAATCTTAATTTTACCACAGCAATATTGTTTGAATAGCCTCTCCTCTTCACATTAATGTTGGCTTAGAGTAGGTTGGTACTTACCGTAGGGCTGTTGAAACAGCCTCCGCTCATTCTGGCATTTCAAAAAGGAAAAATAAGTGAGAACAAACTAAAACCCGATAGGATCATGTCATTATTTTACTAAAAGACCTTTGCTAGGCGAGGCCCGCTTTGGCCCTTTGCGGTATTAGCTCTTTGCATTCGGTCTTGCCTCCCATTTGTTTTCTCCTCCATCCTACCCCATTCTACCCTTAGCGACATTACATTTCCCTCTGATCCGAAAAGACCCCTACTCTTACAAAACCTTTTTTCTGTAGTAAAGGGATTTTCTTTACCTGAATTTCATTGCCCACCTTTGGTCTCTGGCAAATTCTTATTAAAAATCAGCCTCAAAGTCATCTGCTATGACTTGATCCAAGCAGAAAACGTCTTGTCTTTCTGTAACCATGACAATCCTTTCATTCTTCTTACAGTATTCACTTATTCCATTATTTTAGTAATTATAGCCATGTTCCACATAGTGACATTTCAGTCAACAATGGACTGCAAGTACTATAGAACAGTGGTCACAAGAGATTATAATGGAGTTTAAAAATTCCTATGGCCTCATGACATCGTAGGCTTATGTCCTGGCTCAACACATTACTCATGTGTGTGTGTGTGTCTGGCTGTGTGTGGTGATTCTGGCATAAACAAACCTACCGCACTACCAGTTGTATCAACATATATCTTAGACAATGACAAATAGCAAGTATTTGATCATGGTAATAAATGATTGTATTATTAGTATGTATTTACTATAATATATTTTGAATTTAGAGTGTACTGTTTCTACTTAAGAAAAAGAATGTGCTGTAGGTGGTATGCCTGTTGTACCAGCAGCAACCTCATACAGCTGGTGTTTCCCGAAGTCTCTTGATTACATCATTTCCTCTCCTGTTTGATTTACTCTTGTGTTGTCTTGCTCATCATGACCCTTAAATGTACAAAATCCACTGCTAATGGCGTGGATAATGTCAAGTGACCCACCAGGTGACACCTTGCATGAGTGGTATTTGTACAAACAAAGAAATCACCTAATGAAACATGTGTATTCTCATTGCTAAGCAAAGCATAATTGTATCCATATGTCTGTTTTCACCTGGACTGTTGTATAGGGGAGTGAAAAATGGGTTCCCTCTGCCCTCAGCTCAAAGTAATCAGCTTACCAAAGTGTCATATTGTCGATGACATTTCCTGAACTCCTTCCCTGAACTCCTTCCCTTGGCTCTTCCAGACTCAGGACTGTCATTCATGCGTGTATCTTAGACAATTGATAAAATATCTGTGATTTGTTAAGTATTTAGTTACTAAATGACTGAATTATAATTATCAAAGACATTTTATAGATTCTGAGCAGTTTTCGATTATTGGAATAAAAGTGATCATTTTAACAAAAAGAACACTAAGGTCAAGGAAGGTGAAATGATTTTCCCATTCTTCCGCTTCTGGCCTGGGGTCCCCTGGAAAACTTCCACTAGCTGCTGTCAGTTGATGCTGGTTGGCTAATATATAAATAAGGTAGAGGCAACTGGACTACAATTATTGTCTATGAAGCCATTTAACTTTTAGTGTAAGAATGTGACTCAGAGATTGAAATGGTGAAAAGATAACTTGGCGGGTGTCATAAAAATTTTATTTGAATTCAGTAGACAATCTAGTTTTCCTTAAAGCAAATTAAATTATTTTAAAAGTCAGATTTATGTCCTTTTACTAAAGTTCACACTTTACTGCCCTGAAGGAATCCCTAGGTACATAATCGTCTGTGATTTTGTGTGTGTGTGTGTGTGTGTGTGTGTGTGTATTTAACTGCACTGGGGAGGCGGAACAAAGAAGGATGCATGGCTTTTTTCAAAGGGTTCCTTAATCTCGTCCAAAAGTTAAGAACCACCATACCCAGTGACTTCCAGATACATTTGGTTACAATAAGTGATCTTTCTCAAAGCAAAGTATTTAAAAACTTAACTTTAGTACTTGAATGAAAATTTTAATCTTTGCTACTTGCTTTCATTTTTAGGGTTTGTGTTTAGTGAATCAGAGGGATCGGCATTAGAACAGTTTGAAGGTGGCCCCTGTGCTGTTATTGCACCTGTTCAGGTAACATAGATTACTTTACCAACTCTTTCGAGGAACATGTTCAAATGTTTCATACTTTGCTTTTTGTCTTCTAATGTTTGTGCTCTATATAATCATGAAATCAAGAAATAATCACTTAAGACTTTTGCTCATATATATCACCATACATAGTCAAAAATGAATTCAGAACACTGGTGAGCTATACAAGAGTAGCCTTTCGTCCATCTTTATTTTCAAGGAAAAATAATAAGTGTTCCCTGACTTACAGAAAATGATGAATTACTGATCTTGTCATCTTTTCTAAGGCAAAAAGCCTCTAAGTAATAACAACTTTCTGAGAAAGTTGAAGAATTTAGTATTTCCAAGTCCTGAAAGTTTTTTAAGTTTTAAAAATAAGTTGACAGTGTATACTTCTAGGCCATAACTTTGGCCCTTTTTAAATAAAATTAGTAGCAACTTATTTCAAACAGAATTTCAAAAATTAAAAACAGGTTTTTCTTTGCACTAAAGATAAGATTTATCTGAATGTCTTCATTTGGTTTTGAATGTTACATTGTTTGAATTTCAGGTGTTAATTGTCTACAAACTGTTACATTGTTAAAACTAAGAATTGAATTTCTATTGGATTGAAGAATTGTTCAGAATTGAATTGCATTTCTTAACAGTATCTATGAACAGCAGTGTAACTTCTTGTTATAAAAGAGGCTGTAATTTAATGGTTATGTTTTAATCATCATCTTTTAAAAATACATATTTAATGTGATGTTTATGACTCATTGGGCATAAAGAATGCATCCTGAAATGTTAATGCAAAGTAAAATTGTCTCTCAGTTTGTATACTCCATATACTTAAATTATTAAACTATAAAATATATGTCTCTAAAGGAAAAAAAACCATCTTTCATGGTTAATTCCGAAATATACCCTTTATAGGTCATTATTTTATTCCTTTAAAGAGTTCAGCCCCACGGCCTAGTAGTTAAGGGAAATGGATCCCACATAGCTGACCACAGTTTGAATCACAACCTCTGTGGCTTGAAAAACACACCTTGTGTGTGTACATGCACGCACATGCCTAGTCCCCCTTCCCCCATAGAGAGATGGAGGAGAAGGGACTACACTCCATTAAGGGGTGCTTTCTCCTTTCTCTCTGGCTAGCACACATTCACACTCTGGCAATTAAAAAGAAAGTGAAGTTTTTGTTTGTTTGTTTTTCCTAATATAATTATTTTTAAAAAATTAAGAAAAATTATAATGTCACAATCTTGCCTTGGAATTTATATTGCTATCGTACTGAGTAACTGTGGCAAATTTTGATTGCCAGTAGGTATCTTACCAGAATTTAAAGATTCTTTGTCCTAGTCATATATAAGTTAGCTTATACTAACACTACCTCATTGGTAGAGTTTTTATTGAAAGTCTATGATTGTGGGACCAGCAGTTAGCATAATGGCTATGTCGCTGGACTCCCACGTAGTTGACTGAGGTTCATGTCCCAGACCCGGTGACTTAAAACTCACGCTGGGCGTGTGTGCGTGCGTGCCCAAGATCCCAAGAGGAGAACGGAGGAGAAGGGATTGCGGCGTGGCCATCCCCACTGGGGGGTGATTTCTCTCTTTCTGTCTGTCTGTCTCTTTCTGTCTGCCTGGTGAGCGCACATGCCCTATAGCAAAAACCTCTAAAAATGAAAAAAAAAAAAAAAGAGAAAGTCTATGATTGTATACCACAGGGGTTTTCTGTTTTATAAAAACTAGTATATTTTTAAAATGATAGTTAATTTTGCAGTGGGGTGGTGTGTAACAAAAATAATTGTAACATTCAAAATCTCAAATCTATCTTCTTACCTTCAAGGTAATAGTTTACTTTGTCACATAAATTTTTTCAATTGAAACATTTGTTTGTATTGATATTTCCTTTTTTAGAGAGAGAGATTATTGCTATAGGGCATGTGTGCTCTCTAGAGAGAAAGAGATAGACAGAAAGGGAGAAATCACCGCACTGGGAAGGCCACACCACAGTCCTTTCTCCTCCATTCTCCTCTTGGGAATTTGATCATGTGTGCGCACACATGCACACATGCACACACACACACACACACACACACACACAGCGTGAGATTTAAGCCACCGGATCTGGGACTTGAACCATGGCCAACCACACAAAAGTCCAGCGACATAACCATTACACCATCTGCTGGTCCCTAATATTTTGATTTAAAGTAAAAAACTAAATCAAGGGTGAGAAAAATGAGCAAGACCCTATCATAAAACATTTTTAAATTGTAAAACTATAATTAGAACATAATGCTATTGGTAGAATAGGCATAAAATAAGAATAATACAGTTGTTAACCAACTATATGTATATAATGTACCAAGAATTTATTATATGTAATGATAAAGAAATACTAGGACCAGTGGCGAAGTAAGTTTCAGAAACATCATCAATGTGATTATTTAGCAAGATGAGGATAAAAATGAGCTTAGAGCATCTTATACCATATACCAAATACATTCTTGAGATACTAGTAAAATATAAGAAAACTAAAAATTAATGTAGTGTCAATGCTTTAAGAGAAAGGATAACTTACAAGCTCATAAAAATACTTCTGGTGAATTTTAGCAATAGGAGGGTTTTAAATTTTTGGTTTTTTATGCCTAGAGTTTGTACAAGTTAGTTAGAAAAATACTAAGACCCCAGTGGTAAAATGGACATAAATATGCAATGATAACAAGTGGAATGATGCTGCACAAGAAAAGAATCAAGAAGTTCAACTTCTCTGGGAACCAGCAGTTAGCGTAATGGCTATGTCGCCGGACTCCCACGTAGTCAACCGCGGTTCTCGTCCCGGACCCGGTGGCTTAAAACTCATGCCGGTTGCGTGTGCGTGCGTGCCCAAGATCCCGAGAGGAGAATGGAGGAGAAGGGATTGCGGCGTGACCATCCCCCCTGGGGGGTGATTTCTCACTTTCTGTCTCTATGTCTCTGTCTGTCTGGCGAGCGCATGCGCCCTATAGCAAAAAACTCTAAAATAAATAAATAAATAAATAAAAATAAAGAACAAGTTCAACTTCTCTAGGGACCCAGGAAAATAAAAATAAATCTGAAACTAGATTCTATTTCTCACTTTTTCTTGTCTTTAAATATAAAATTCTAATTGACAGTGCATGTAAGAATGGGATGATGCTGGTCCACACTTCTGCTGTAGGTTGTAGATTTGTGCTTTGATTTTGGGAAGGAATTTTACATTATAATTTAAATGATTATAATGTGCATTCTTTGATGCAGTAGTCATATTTCTGTGAATCTTTCTCAAGAAATAGTCCTTTATATGGAAAAAATATTTAAGAAGCTCATATATTGTGTCATTGGAAAAGACATGACACTTTTTTGCATAGAAAAATGTGTGATATCACAATATATTGGTTTTTTTTAGAGTTTTTTTTGTTTTGTTTTGTTTTTTGTTTTTTGCTAAAGGGCACGTGCACTCGCCAGGAAAACAGAGAGACAGAGAGACAGAAAGCAAGAAATCACCCCCCAGGGGCTATGACCACGTTGCAATTCCTTCTCCATTCTCCTCTCGGGGTCTTGGGCACGCACTCAAACGCACCTGGCGTGAGTTTAAGCCACTGGGTCCGGGACTCAAACCGTGGTCGACTACATGGGAGTCCAGTGACATAGCCAATCCACTAACTGCTGGTCCCATCACAATATTTGTGATAGTCTGAAAAAATTATAGATAACCTAATGTGCAAAAATGTAACTTAGATATGCAATAATTAATGGTAAAATTCTGATAAATAACTTCATAGGCAAGTAGGGATTTAGAATTATATTAATAGTTACAGGGGCCAGCAGGTGGCATGGTGGTTGCAGTGCTGGATCCCACCTGGCTGACTCTGAAGTTGTAGTTCCAGAGCCAGAGGATAGAAAACCATGCCAGGCTTGTATGCTTGTTTTTCAGAATCCCAAGAGGAGAATGGAGAAGGGATTGCTGTGTGGTCATCTCCCCTACCCCTTCTGGGTGATTTTTTTTTTGCTCTCCCTCACTGGTAAGAAAGAAATCTTATACCCATTATAATCCTCACTTGTAATAAAATTTAAAACATATATGAAAGAAGTAAATCAAAATGTTAACAGTTGTGTTAGTAATGGGTATCTGTATCTTACTTCCAAAATTTTGTAATGTAGCTATCCTCAGTTTTATGGTTTTTGTCATTTTTAGGAAGAATCAGCACTTAATTGTAAAGATACAGGTTTTATTTCTATGTGAATATTTCAGAATATTACTTAGTTTTTGTTAAAATACTTTGATTAGGTACCATATACAGTGCTAAGTGTATTACATAGATTTTCTCCAATAATTTTCACTATTTTTAAAGTTTGTACTACTTTTAGTTAGTAAAGTAGTGGAACCAGGAATCAAACCTAGATCTGTCTAAACAACAGTCCTCTTACTCTACAACAATGCTTTCCAACATGTGTAAAATCATCACAGCAACCTAGTTTTTCTTGGATCTGTCTTCTTCAAATTCAGATTTGATGGGTAGAGCCCAAGAATCTGTATCTTAAAAAGGTAAGTCAGGTGTCTAGGATACAAATAAATACACGTGAACTACACTTTTAGAAGGAAACACTGCACCACACCAACCTGCTTTTTCTCGGATAACTAGTGTGACATAGTTGACCATGTAGGGAAAAAAAAAGTTAGAAATCATTTTTTTTTCTTTTAAATCTTACAGCTTTTTGAGTTAAACCAGGAAGTTAGGAGCTCCTTATAATAAAGTGATGACTCTAGTGGTGACATTCTTGTATCACCGATCAGAGCTAGTGGAGCAGAACCAATGTTTAACTTTAGATTTCCTTAACCTTGAGGAATCTAAGACAAATGTAAACTGTTTGTGTTCCATAGGGTCTTCACTTTGTGAATGAAGCAGTAAATTTCTATAATTTCCAGTTACGTGACTTTTATTAGATTCCATTCTTTTACTTATCAGAAAATAATGTATTGTTGAAAAAGAATAATTTTGGAGATCTGTAGTCAACTTTATAGTAGTATATTCTGCATAAATAACTGTAATAATTCTGCATAAATAACTGCTCTTTATGGTTGAATGTACAGAGAAGCCATTTCAATTTTTATAGATCTATTCAAAAAGACCAGAAAGGAAATGCAAATGAGTTTTTCCATTTTAGAATTAAAGAATGATATGAAGTATATTAATGATGCATTCTACTAATTATTGCTTTACTTATATAAAGGCATTTCTTTTGAAGAAACTCCTGTTTTCTTCTGAGAAGTCTTCTTGGCGGGATTGTCCAGGTATGATAGCTGTCTTTTCAAACTTTTGCTCAGTCTTATATTTTAAAGATGATTTATGCAGCATTCATTGGCAGTAATATAATTACAATGTTCTGTCTTAGAACATAAACTATCAATGAAGTTTTCTTAGTGTGGTTATTTTTTAAATGTTTAAGAAGGTTTCATGAATAGTGGCAACTTTAAAATGTGTAAATTCTAGATTTGGCTCTCCGATCTAAGAGGTAGAAGATAATGTGTGAGGTCTTCAGAAAGTTCACGGAAATACATATTATTAAAAATTGTACATGAACTTAGAATTTTTGTGCACCAAACTAAACTTGTGTTTTAATCCTCTTTTTTGTTAAGGTACTTTGATGTCCCCTCATATAACTGAAGGAAAAATCTTTTACTTCTCTCTAAAACATGGTGCATTTCCCAGAAATGTTGGTTACTAGCATACCATAAATAATATTTATGTTGTTGTTTGTCTTATTTAGTTCTAACTAAAAACTTTTATCTTTTAGTCAAAGGCCTTACACAATGCAAGGACTGTAAATAATTCTGACTTAAATTACAAATGAAAGTGTCATAGCTTCTGCTCAAAATTAAGCCAGGGAGATTTGTGGTACTATCTGGTAATAGCAAACATTCGCATTCCACTTGACACTTTATAAAGATCTTTCCTTCATGTACACAATTTTGTGCGAGCTTCACAGTAACTTCTGGAAGAAGGTAGGATGTGTTACAGTGCCAGTTCTGAATATTAGGACAGGTTCTGTCCAAACCATGACCATAGAATCTACTGATAGCTGAAATGCAAAATAAATTTTAGTAGAGAAGAAATGATTCTATTATTAATATGAACTTTTTATTAATGCAATTGGTAATATTTCTTGCACAAAAGCATTTGTAAAGCATTATCATAAATGTCATAAATGATTATAAGTGGTTATAAAGTGAATGGCGCAGTTCCTGCCTTTAAAGATCTTTTACTCCATCAAAGACAGAACCGCCTTGTTTCATAAAGTTTTACAGAGAATATGTCCATATCTTATCCCCTTATAGTTTCAGAAAGTGGTTCAACTTGTGGACACTGATACTTCTTGCAAAGTGAAGGATTGCAAGGTTTAGGGAAAAATAGTGTGATCCTTTGTGCTATTTTTTGTTAAGTTCTAGTCTTCAAATCTCTGCAATACAGTGTCAGTAGCTTCTGTACTGTACAACATAACCAATATGTCTTCTGCTAATGTAATGGATTGTGGTTTTCTGTGTGCTGACAGTGTGTTTTCTCTCTCTTATCCCTGTGGGACGGAATGATCAAGACATTAGACCAATTCCAAATGGGGGTGGGGAATAGAGGTCTCCACAGGCCTTTACATGATGGGTGGGTCTGCAATAAAGTACTTACCTTCTACATTTGCAGCTTAAGAAAGGGACGGTCAGTATCAGGTTATTCCAAGTAGCATATTCTTATCTAATTCTGCATTTTCCAGGACTTTTCTAATTGATGGCAATTTTTAAAATGGAGATATTTTAACCTTCAGGCAAGTTGTTTTTATGCAATACAATTTTAAATCTGTTGTTTATGGATCATTCCCCATGCTTAAAATGCTTGATTTTCATCATGAAATTAACATCTTAATATTGTTATTCATGACAGGATTTTTTTTTCCCCAGAGAAATCCATTAAAACTTATACTTTGGTTATTTTTAGAGGAAGAGCAGAAGGAGCTCCTTTGTCATACCTTATGTGATATTTTAGAAAGTGCTTGTTGTGACAACTCTGGATCATACTGCTTGGTTTCATGGTTAAGAGGAAAGACAACTGAGGAAACGGCTAGTATTTCTGGGAGTCCTGCAGAGTCTAGTTGCCAAGTGGAACATTCTTGTAAGATACATTTTTATTTCCTGAAGTAATTTCTTATACCTTTGTTTAATAAATTTTGAGGAAAAAATATTTGTAATTTTTAAAACATATCTTTTTTCTAGCTGAAGTTTAATTAATGAGCCTTAATATTTTTCATTTCCCTTTCAATTTTAATGACTAGAGATACTACATTTTTGCAAAAAAAAGATGAAATGCATCTCAAAATCAACTTTTTAGAATATTCTACTTCTACTTTATAACAATCTCCTTTGAACTTTAGAACTCATATTTACAAAGTTTAAAACATTTCTATATCCCTTAGTTTCAGATGATGTAATATTTTGGCAGAGCATTTTAAAAAATGGAATTTTTTGACATCAGAAAATATTTTAATTACCTTTAACTGTTGCTTCCCAGAGCAAATATGGGAACACCCTTCATTCCACACAATTTTTCGTCTCTTGAGTTTTTGGGACACACACACACACACACACGTGTGTGTGTGCATATATACATGGTTGTCAGGAGAGTTGTGATGCATTTTTGCATAGAAAAATACACCATGATTTTCTTGATGACTTAATATGTGTGTGTGTGTGTGTGTGTGTGTGTGTGTATATATATATATGGGTTAGAGGGGGTGAGAGAGGGGGATAGATTATTTTAAGGCAGTTTTATTTCTGAATTTTAATTATGCCTTAAGTTTATCATAGCTTGACTAAGGACTTTCTCTTTAAGTTAAATGATAGCTATTCTCATAATCATAAAAATTATATATTTTGTGGTCTTTAACCTTTGAAAATCCTTTGTAATTGGCCTAAAAACTGTCAGGGTGAAAAAGTAAAATGGAGGCCCCTGTTTTATATGGACAGTAGATAAAGGAGTTGCTTTTCTGATGTGCTTTTAAGGAATAATCTTGAGAGAAAGTAGTTTGACCATTGGTAGTCTAAATACTGATACAGAATAAGTGACTTATTCTACCTGTACATATTCCATTAACTATCATCACTACAGAAACCATTTTTAAAGAAATTAGATACCTGATTCTTAGAACATAAACATCAACTGCTTGTGATGCACATCTGCTTAGCCTATTGGGCCATCTCTGAGGCATTGATGCCTCCCTGGGCTGAATCTTTGCCCTATTGTCAGTGTATTCTCTCTCCAGCCTCTGCAGTTGAAATGCTCTAAGCCTCATAAATTCAATTAGTAATACACTTGCAAGCAGTAACTTTCGAAGTTTACAATGTTGAATGTTGTTTCCTTTCATTTTGAAACATAGTCTTTCAAAAAGAATTTAACTTTTTTGGATTGATAATGACACTTAAAGACAAGTAAAAAAATATTCACAGGATGATAGTCAAAAATCTCATTAGAATTGGTTTTAAGTTATTTTCCAGGTTTTACTTGGTTTCATGCAAGCACATTTAATTTTTATTTAGGATATTAAAAATTTGAGAGGAATAGTTGAACTATTTAAAAGGTGTTTTAAAGAATATGTGCTTAGGACCAGCAGGTGGCATAGTGGTTAAGGCACTGGAGTCGTACTTGGCCAACTCTGGTTTGAGTCCTGGACCAAGCAGCTGGAAAATCATGCCAGGTGTATGTATGTGCATAACAAAAATCCCAAGAGTAGATGGAGGAGATGGGACTGTGGCATGGCCATCCTACCGAGGGGTGACGTCTCACTTACCCTCTCTCTGTCTCTTTCTCTTTCCAGTGAGCACATGCACTCTGTGGCAAAAACCTTAAGAAAAAAAAAAAAGGTGCTTAAAGTCAGTCTACATGTTACTATGTGAGAAAATAGATCTTTTAGTGTAACATTTTCATTAGTATCTCAGTAGCAGCCTGTGTGCTTACTATGGAATATGCTCTCCATTTCTGTAGTGGTAGGTTAAATTGCTCTAGGGTAAATGACCTCATAATGCATTACGTTTGATAACTAATTTGGATGGATATATTGTATTGAATTCCCCTCCAAAAATACATTTTCAGTAATTTTCCAGGACTTTTTGTGCCTTGTTTTAAAAAATAACCATTTTTAATGTGATATATTTGAAACATTTTGTTACCTGAAAATTTGAAAACTTAACCTTAGATATTTACAAGTGAACTGAACTTACATTAAACTTTTTATTCCAGATAACAATCTGTTTTATCTTTTTTTTCCCCTTTATTCCCAGCTATGTTCTTTTCTTGTGTTTTATATTTTTCTACCATCCTCGCTGCTGAGCTTTTTATTTTGCTTGCCTCTTTTCTCTAGATTACTATTTTTATGTCTACTTTCATAGTATACTTAGTAAAAGTATTGCGATATCAAGCATTGCAGAACAGTTAGGAAAGGTTAGGCAGAATTTTTATTTGATTCTGAAATTTTAAATGTGAAGTGCTTGCCCCTTTTGTTAATACTACATTCTGTACAAACATTTATTTCATTGGCTTATGTGGTGTGTATAGTTTTGGCTTGTTGGTAACGCACATTTGTTTGCAGTAGTGATACTCAGGTTCAATTTCAGTTTGTTTCCCACATAACCCAAAAGATTATGACGAATAACCCAAGAGAAGTTCTAAATATCTTAAAAAGTCATTTCAAACATTTGAAAATTAAAACGAGGCTTGGAAAAGCTAGCATAATCCAGTCGTTTAAATTATAAATAAAAATGATATATTTTAAATTCAAAATGAATCAGTTCTCTTAACTCACTAGTGGGAATTTATATTTGAAAGTACTAAGATTTGCTTTATGAAATGCAGGTGAAATTGTTCATTGTGATCAATTAAAGTAGGCATTTTGATTCATGTGCCATATCTTTAAAGCCTTTATCTTCCTAGAGCTAAGGCTATCTGGGTTCAAATCTCAGCTCTATGGTTTATTGCTGTGTGCTCCTGAGAGGATGCTTCTCTGTGCCTCAGTTTCCTCTTCTGTAAAATGGAAATAAGAGAGAGGGTTGTTATGAGGATTAAATGTGGTAAGACCTATAGAGAATTTTAAAAAGGGCCTGGCACTCAGTAAAGTGCCCAGTAAACATTACTTTTAATTAAAATGCTTTCTTTTATTTCTTTTGACTATTTTATTTAAACTTGTATTGATAACCATTAAATTAGTTACTGAAAACGTCCTAACAGTTATACAAATAAATGAGGAAACAAACTTAAAGCTGTCGTTGAACCTGTGTAGTTTCAAAGTGCTATGCCTCTTTATATACACATTTGTTTAATAGTTAAGCATTAAACCTAAAGATTTATATTATAAAGGAGGAAGATTAGCTGTATGATTTTACTTGGATCTGTAAACTAAAAGATTACTTAAAAGTGCAGGACACATTACTATGATGTGTGAAGCACTGATTACCAATAATCTTGCGTATTTTGTAAACTACCCAGCACAGTTGAATTTGCAAAGAAATCTTTGTTATTTAATCACCCTTCTAACAGTCTCAGTATTATATCCATTTTAGTTATAATCATGGTAATAGCTAAAACGTTGAAATACAAATTTATATTATAGTAAAATTGAAAATAAATTGAAAATTTTAAGAGAGCAAGAATATAGGGAAAGTTTTGATTGCTTGAAAGTATTTACAGCCTGCTGTGTGTATCTTGTGTCATTTATTTGCCATGTGTAGTGCTGAAAAGTGTCTTTTATGTGTAGCTGCCTTGGCTGTCGAAGAGCTTGGCTTTGAGCGATTTCATGCATTAATTCAGTAAGTAACATTGGAACATTTAAAATACTTACCTTGTGGACGCATTGCCATTTTAAGTCTGTTCATACCGTGGAAAAGTTAGATTTATGTAGTACTGGACTACTTAAACATGAATTTTAAATCGATTGCATGAGGATTAATTTGCTTTTAAATGAAAAAAATTATGTGTACTTAAATTATTCAGTCCTAAATTAGCTACCCAAATATACTTTTTAAAAAACATTAAAAGCTTTTTCATCATTAAAATGAAAAAAAAAAGATTTAAGCTTCATGTTTCTCTGTCTTGAATGAATATAAGGATTTCTGCCAGGTTGTTGGAAAAGTCATGACATATTTCTCTGTTTTCCTATGAAAAAATTTATCATTATTTTCCCAGTGATGGATAAATACTACAATTATTTATTTGACAAAATATAGTTTCTATAATTTTTGTTAGAAGTGCTTATATTTTCATTGAAAGACAAACTTTGTATTATAAAGTAAAAGGTAAGGATGACTGTGTTGGTAGGATTATAGGTAGCATTTGATTTGAAACTTATTATTAATTTCTCTTTGGAAAAAAGCCACAAATACTTTATCTTTGGTGTTGAGATATTTGTTAAATAATTTTCAGGCTTTATAAACTAGTTTTCTTTGTTCTTAAACACCTCATGAAGAGAGCCACTCTATTCTCTAAATAATTGTATATTATTGCAGAATTTATTGATGTCAGACAGCTCGCCTAAGAGATGAAGAGGTTCCCCTGTCAAGTAGGCTTTCTATCTTAATGGTATATATTATATATCGCGATAGTTGTCAGCAGTAGTTTTTGCTTGAATGGCTAAATTTGTATGTGACAATTTGAAATACTTGAAAAAATTTCTTGTTTATATGTGTATGTTTTAATTTTAAGACATTTAAAGAAGTTCCCTAATTTCGAATGTAGTCAATCTCATTATGTGCTAATACTTAATTATTTTGTCCCCCAGGAAAAGATCATTCAGAAGTTTATCAGAATTAAAAGATGCTGTCTTGGATCAGTATTCAATGTGGGGAAACAAATTTGGAGTATTGCTTTTTCTGTATTCTGTGTTACTGACAAAGGTTGGTTTAGAAGATGCTTCTCCCTTTTATTAGTTTAGTTCTATTTTTTCCTGCTGTGATGAATAATTTTATTCCTGATATTGTTTTAAATCTTAGAATAAATAAAAATCTCCTGTGCTAATAACAAAGAATTAAGTTTCCTTTCTACTTACTTGTTACTTAACCACTTACAAACTTTCACTTGTGCTTTACTACAGAGGTAGTCAATAATCTAATTATGAAATGCTGTCAGTTCTTCTGTGTGTTTTGTTTTGTTTTGTTTTTTTAATATCTTAGAATTTCTGGTAGTTCACCCCCTTACCCTTCTGGAAGCTTTCTTTTTCCCCCCTTCCTTCCCAGGGCTCTGAGGGAGGAAAAGAAGTGGAGGGGATGTCATTGGTTCTGACAGGGTCTCTTGGTTGTGATCCTCTGCCCACGCACACCTCCTTGGTAGCTAGGATTACAGGTGCCCACTTATAGCACAACCTGTTTTGGTTGGTCTAGAACCTGAACCTGAGCCTCTAGTATGGTTTCAGCCTCATGTCGTATGCCCTCTGCTTATGCCACTGTGGCCGAGTCCTTTTGCCTCCCACTATTTTTTTGTCTTATCTGATAAATCACTGTGCCAGTTTTCTTCATGTTTTTATTTTCTTTGATACCTTCATTTTCTTTATCTGTTATCTCCTGCTTTTTTCTTCCCTCTAAATTTTTATATTCTAGAAATTTAGCTTTCTGGATCCTATATGCTTTTTCTTTGATGGGTATTTTGTTCTCCCAGTTTACCTTTATGTGGCTTATTCCAATATGTGTAATTACAGTCTTCCCATCCCCAATGCTAGTCTGGTTTTTAATCTAGTGGTCAGTTGAGTATCTTACTAGATTTACCATATATGAAATAAAATTTCTTTTACTTGACAAATGTTTATTGAATACTGACTGTGCTCAGAACTGTGCTTATAGTATGGGATACATCTTACTAGGGTTTCTATTAATTTTTGTAGAAAAAAGTAACACATTAATAATTACTTGTATCATGGCAGTGTTTTTGGTGTTTTCATTTTACTTGCACAAAGCCTAGTGGAAAACTAGGACAAAGTATGCCTAAGCTTATTGGGTGGAGTCAAGGTCAGACATGGTATTATAATGATTTGAAGGTTGGGACTTGATGGATCAGTACAGGTTTTCTGTTTGGGAAAGCTACAGGAAAGTTTTTCAAGCAGTGGGAACAAGTGTAAAGTTTTAAGAGATTGGGGTGTAACACAAGTTTGGAGAACTGTAAGTAGTTTGGCATTACTGCAGCATAATGCACTGCTGTGACAATTGTGGAAGATGAGTCTGGGTGCTAATTTAAAGGTTCTTATACACTACAAAAACTGCCTAGGGAACCAGCAGTTAGCATAATGGCTATGTCACTGGACTCCCACGTAGTCGACCACGGTTCATGTCCCGGACCCGGTGGCTTAAAACTCACGCCGGGCGTGTGTGCGTGCGTGCCCAAGATCCTGAAAGAGGAATGGAGGAGAAGGGATTGCGGCGTGACCATCCCCCCTGGGGGGTGATTTCTCGCTTTCTGTCTCTCTGTCTCTCTCTGTCTGTCTGGTGAGCGCATGCGCCCTATAGCGAAAACCTCTCCAAAAAAAAAGCCTTAGATTGTATCTTCTCAAAATTGGAACACAATAAAGATTTGGAACAAGGGAATGGCAAGATGTTTTTGTTGATTAAAGATTTCTTGGGGCCAGCAGGTGGTATAGTGATTAAGGCACTGGATTTCCATATGGTTGACCACAGTTCAAGTTCCAGACCCAGCAGCTTGAAATTCATGCCAGGCATGTGTGCCCAAAATCTTGAGAGAAGAATGAAGTGTAGCTGTCCACTTTGGAGGGTGATTTCTCGCTTTTTGTCTCTGTCTCTCTCCAGTGACTTCACATGTACCCTATACCAAAAAGTCTCTCTCAAAAAAAAAAAAAAAAAAGATTTCCGCCCCTTTTTTTTTTTTTTGAACAAGGATGGCAAGTATAAGATCTCATACTTCTCCCCCCCCATAATACTTAGATAATCATTCAATACTTCGTCTGTTTAGTTCTTATAAATGGCCTGTAGTATGATAGAACCAATGATTAAAGTTAGGTGAGTAGCACAAAGAATGGCACTTTAACTTTGTCATGTTGAAGTTGATGAGGGTCGTTTTGTACTTATCCAGCGTCTAAAACTCTTGGGGTTTGGGTACCCATTTGATAATTTAGAAGTATCAGCAAATTGCTTCTCAAAATATAAAATAAGCATTTTTGTCATGTGTATGTCTTCCTTAGAGTTGTCTGTTCAATTCATTTGTCCATGTTTCATGTTTTAATTGTATAAATTGTGTAGTATTACTAGGGTTCTTTTTTTCTTTGGGCAGGTGAGGTATTTGAGTTCCTTCTATAGTATGGTTATCCATTCCTTATCGAAACATAGTTTGCAGATATTTTCTTCTATTCTGAGGGTTGTCTCTTCGCTCTAATTATTGTTTCCGGTGCTGTGCAGAAACTTTGTAGCTTGATATAATTGCCCATGTCTGTTTTTGAGATAATTGTTGGTGTTTTAGGGATCTTATTTAAGAAATCTTTGCTTATTCCAATGTCTTCAAGTATTTTCTCCTGAGTTTTCTACCAATAGTTTTATAGTTTGAGGCTTGACATTAGGTCTTTGATAAGTTTTGAGTTGATGTATTAGTGGTCAGAGATGAGTCCACTTTCATTTTTCTGCAGTTGAATATCCATTTCTTCCAGCACCATTTGCTGAAAAAGACTTCACTTTCTTCACTGCGTTGTTATGTGCCCTATGTCAAAGATCTATTGACTTGTATATTTTGGGATTTATTTCTGAGTTCTATATTCTGTTCAACACCTCTTATCATCAGGGAAATGCAAATACAAACCATAGTGAGATACAACCTAGTCAGAGTGACTATGATCAAAATAGTAAAGAAGAACCAGTGCCTATGAGGCCATGGTGAAAAGGAAACCCTCCTACACTGTGGGGATGTAAATTAGTACAGCCACTGTGGGAAACAATATGCAGGTTCCTTAGCTACAAACAGAGCTACCATAAGACCCAGTGATCCTACTTCATGGTATTTACACAAAGTATAGGAAACCAGTCTGAAAGACACTGCACATCCTTGTTTATTACAGCAGTATGCACAATTGCTAAGACATGGAATCAGCCTAAGTGTTCCAAGAACTGATACCTGGGTTGAAAAAATACAGCACATGCATGCTGCAGAACAGTACTCAATCATCAGATGAGTTCGTCATTTGATAGAAAGTGGATAAATACATTGTGTCATCAGGAAAGTCATGATGCATTTTTGCATAGAAAAACAGAAAAATATGTCATGACCTTCCCAACAACCTAGTAGATTTAATGCTAAGTGAAGTAAGCCAGACTGTGAACTATAAACACTGTATATCCCTGCTTAATGTCTGCACTCCATGGCAGAAATGGAAAGATCCCAAGATACAATAGGTAGGGAAGACAAGCGTAGATACCAGAGACTGTAAAGGAAGGAGGGATAGTTAAAGGATGGATGGGAGGGACTCAGGCAAGAAACACTTAACAGACACAAGAACGTGAAGTTCTCTGTTGAAAATGATGTGTAGGGGACCAGTAGATGGCATAATGGTTACATCTCTGGACTCCCACTTAGTCAACCATGGTTCAAGTCCTGAACCCAGTGGCTTAAAACTCATGCAAGGCACACACATGCATGCATGCCCCAAATCCCAAAAATGGAGGAGAAGGGATTGAGGTATGGCCATCTCCCTATGGAGTGATTTTTCTCTGTCTGTTTCTCTCTCTCTCTCTGGTGAGCACACACTCCCTATAGCAAAAACCTCTTAAAAAATATTATGTATGGGGAACCAGCAGTTAGCGTAATGGCTATGTTGCTGGACTCCCCAGTA